AAATAACTGCATTGACTTATTTTGTTTAGGAGAATCCATCCTGAACATACAGGATTCTGAAAACTATCCACCTTCAAGATCACCATCCTTTTCTATAGTTATCAGAGTTATCTGCTAATTATAGTGTTTCAGTCACATCATGTATGTCACATAGCCACAGTATATCACCTGTAGCAAAAATCTCCATCATCCAGAAACAACCACAGGTAAATTTGTGATAAGAACCAGATTACAAAAAAGAGGTAATTGATGAAAAAATTGCCTGGCTTGTTTATGCAGCCGACTCTCCTTTCCGTACGATTGAGAACCCACACTTTATTAACATTAAGACCAGGATACAGTCCACCCAACAGAGCAGGTGTTGCAGGCAAATTCTGGATAAAGTTTAAGAAAGAAATTGAGCAGTGTGCAAAAGGTCTAGAGGGTAAAATTATTAACCTGAGTCTTGATGGGTGGAGCAATGTCCACAATGATCCTGTTGTATGTGTTTGTGTGACAACAGAAGAAGAGAATGTCTTTCTTTCAGAAACAATTGATACATCAAGAATGCACACATAGCAGAATACTTACAGGAAGTAGCAGTAAAGGCTATAAAAAAAAACTGTGGAAAAAAATTCAGATGTCTAGTACGCAGCTTGGTCACAGACAATGCTGCAAATGTACCCAAGATGAGAAGAAATTATTTAGAAAACAGTGAAGAGAGTCCCAAGCTAACAACATATGGTTGCAGTGCTCATTTGATGCACCTTCTAGCCAAAGACTTCAGTGTTCCAGAAATAAAGGCTAATGTTGTTGAGATTGAAAAATACTTCCGTAACTACCACTTTGAAGCAGCTACTCTGAAAAAAAGTAGGAGAAACCAAGCTAACTCTCCCACAAGACGTGCGATGGAACTCAGCAGTGAACTGTTTTGAGCACTATATCAAGAACTGGTCTAATCCGATGACAGTTTGTGAACAAAATCGTGAAAAAATAGATGGCACTGTCACAGCCAAAGTTCTCAACACTGGGCTTAAGAGAAATGTTGAACACATGCTGAGTGCCTGAAGCCTATTTCTGTAGCCTGGAACAAAATGCAGGGAAATAGCTGTTCTATTGCTGACGCTGTTGAAATTTGAAAGGAACTGAGATCTTAAAAAGAGAAATATGCAATGACAGAGTTAAATTACAAGCATTAAAAAAAACTAATGGGACAAGCACTATCTCATTTTCTTGCCAATATTCTCAATACTCGGTACCAGGGTTAAACCTTAACTGCTGAAGAAGAGTGGTTGGCTATGACATGGACATCCAGCAATCATCCCTCCATAATGCCAACTATAATAAACTTCCGAGCTAAGGGTGAACCATTCAAGAAAAATAAGTTTGCTGATGATGATTTGAAGGAAGTCACACCAGCGAACTGGTGGAAATCACTTAAGCACTTGGATTCAGAGACTGTTGATGTGATAATCTCACTAGCTTCTTCTGCCGGTGTAGAAAGAATATTTTCTTCTTTGGGCTAATTTATAAATTGAGAAATCGTTTGGGACCTGAAAAAGCAGGAAAGCTTGTTTTTCTTCTCCAGATTATGAACAAACAGGAAAATGAAGATGAAGACGACTGAGTTAACTGTAGAAGCCAATATTTTAAGTTTCTCATGTTGACCTGGCTGACATAGTAGATTTAATTTTTGTGGGTTTTTTTTCAATATTTCATTTAACTGTTTTAGTCAAAAACAATTTTAACAAAAACAAACCTGACTTTAAAAAACTTGAATGTTTAACTAAATTCAAAAATTCATATGCTTGTTTTGTTAAAATATTGTGTTTGCTGTGGAAGAAAAAAAATCCAGAATACATAACATTGTTGTTTTAGTTAAATAAAACAATTTAAATGTCTGTCTGGTGGTGATCTCCTCCTAATACAGCATGGCAAGAAAATCCTCCAAATATTAATGATTAACGTCTTGAATTGGAGATATTTATGAAGTCACTGGGAGGTGAACTATCTGCATCAATTATCTTTGGTAAATGAAATAACCAAACGATCATTCATTTTCTGATTAGCTGTAAAACTAATCTGAAAAGTTTTACACTTTAAATAAAATAAATCACTTTAAAAATGTATGGTGTGTACCTTCTAAAAATGAAACCTACATCTATCTCTGAGTTGTGAAGAATATGTATTAAGGTTATAACAACCAACAAGAATGCACTTTTATGCAGAAATCCATGATTAAATCGAGTCTTCCTGACTAGAGATTTAAATCATGATTTCATAGAATCATAGAATATAAGGGTTGGAAGGGACCCCAGAAGGTCATCTAGTCCAACCCCCTGCTCGAAGCAGGACCAATTCCCAGTTAAATCATCCCAGCCAGGGCTTTGTCAAGCCTGACCTTAAAAACCTCTAAGGAAGGAGATTCTACCACCTCCCAAGGTAACGCATTCCAGTGTTTCACCACCCTCTTAGTGAAAAAGTTTTTCCTAATATCCAATCTAAACCTCCCCCACTGCAGCTTGAGACCATTACTCCTCGTTCTGTCATCTGATACCATTGAGAACAGTCTAGAGCCATCCTCTTTGGAACCCCCTTTCAGGTAGTTGAAAGCAGCTATCAAATCCCCCCTCATTCTTCTCTTCTGCAGGCTAAACAATCCCAGCTCCCTCAGCCTCTCCTCATAACTCATGTGTTCCAGACCCCTAATCATTTTTGTTGCCCTTCGCTGGACTCTCTCCAATTTATCCACATCCTTCTTGAAGTGTGGGGCCCAAAACTGGACACAGTACTCCAGATGAGGCCTCACCAATGTCGAATAGAGGGGAACGATCACGTCCCTCGATCTGCTCGCTATGCCCCTACTTATACATCCCAAAATGCCATTGGCCTTCTTGGCAACAAGGGCACACTGCTGACTCATATCCAGCTTCTCGTCCACTGTCACCCCTAGGTCCTTTTCCGCAGAACTGCTGCCTAGCCATTCGGTCCCTAGTCTGTAGCTGTGCATTGGGTTCTTCCGTCCTAAGTGCAGGACCCTGCACTTATCCTTATTGAACCTCATCAGATTTCTTTTGGCCCAATCCTCCAATTTGTCTAGGTCCTTCTGTATCCTATCCCTCCCCTCCAGCGTATCTACCACTCCTCCCAGTTTAGTATCATCCGCAAATTTGCTGAGAGTGCAATCCACACCATCCTCCAGATCATTTATGAAGATATTGAACAAAACCGGCCCCAGGACCGACCCTTGGGGCACTCCACTTGATACCGGCTGCCAACTAGACATGGAGCCATTGATAACTACCCGTTGAGCCCGACAATCTAGCCAGCTTTCTACCCACCTTGTAGTGCATTCATCCAGCCCATACTTCCTTAACTTGCTGACAAGAATACTGTGGGAGACTGTGTCAAAAGCTTTGCTAAAGTCAAGAAACAATACATCCACTGCTTTCCCTTCATCCACAGAACCAGTAATCTCATCATAGAAGGCGATTAGATTAGTCAGACATGACCTTCCCTTGGTGAATCCATGCTGACTGTTCCTGATCACTTTCCTCTCATGCAAGTGCTTCAGGATTGATTCTTTGAGGACTTCAATTTAAATCCATTTGATTTAAATCAAATCCACCCTGCTCGTTTATTGTATGTAGTTATAGACTATGTGAAAAAGTAAGCCGCATACTTAAAATTACCAATAAAATACCTCTGTTGTGAAACAAACAACTTTTGGTAACAGAAGGGCTTTCAACTGATTAATAGTCAGGAGCTGTGTTGAAGTATATGTTATGTCTAGAAAGAAGCACATATACCAAGTACCATTAATATATCTTTCTAGGAAAAATCATCACAAAAGCATACCTTTAACAACTGAATTTGAATGCTTATTGCTGCAAATCATGTAGTCTTTCCCACTTCACTTCAAAGTACGAGTTTTGTGTGAATAGATTACATATTTATAATTTATGAAGGAAGAGGTTTTTATTTTTTTAAGGGCAAATTGCATATGAGATTAGTTACATAATCAAATTATCATCAAATGATGCACATCGAGCATGAAGTTATAAAAAATGACTTCTGCCTAAAACAGTGTGTCAGTAAGTTTACACTGAACCTGTAAAAGTGATTGCTGATAATAATGGAATTAATTTTATATTTTCTTTGATCCATCTCTTCTTTTTAAACCGTTACAGAAGTAATGTTCAGAAAGAAAAAATATTGCTTTATTGTTAATCAGTGGGTAGTTTTTTTCATATTTTTAAACACACAATAGACATCTATGTAGGAGATATTGGTGCATACCATTTTATTTTACAGACTCTTTGTCAGTGTTGCTTTTTGTGTAGACCTTGTTGACCAGACTATTTGAAGGGAGAAAAAAGTTCTCTCTTTGCTCTTTCTTGTACAAATATGCACAAGCCAAGAATGTGATTAAAACACAGAATGGTAAGAATGAACACTGAGTTTCCTTTTCATCAGAAATATATTTTGTCAAATAACTAAGTTTTTAAAGCATTATAAACTAGATTTTCCCTCTATTCCACTTAAATTATCAGATTTCTGATAAATTTAGCATCATAATTACACAGACACAAACCATGCACTAATGCGTACAAGCCTCAAAATGAACATGTCTTTTGTTAAACTGAGGTCACAATGGCAACATGCTGGATAGAGTTTACAAAAAATTTCTAAGTACTTAACAGTAGAGTTTATTTTGGTAGCAAACCCAAGAAAGCAAAATTTTTGTGAGTTTGTACAGTAACTAGCTGGAATGGAAAACTGTATTTCCTTTAAAGTTGGTGCTCATTTATTTTGTCAAGACTACATTGAATCAATGGGGATACATTAAGCTGGCTATTTTTTCTTAAATCATGAAGGTGAACCATTCCAGTTGAAGTGATGAAGTGAGCTGTAGCTCACGAAAGCTTATTCTCAAATAAATTGGTTAGTCTCTAAGGTGCCACAAGTACTCCTTTCCATTCCAGTTGGTTATTTAGTCTCACACTCTAGTTGCTGATTACCTGAAACATTTTCAGCCATTCCTGAAGTCCTGTAGGTGGCTGGACAGATGAAATCCGGCGCCGCTGTTGTCCTTGGCCATTGGCTGCTCTCAGGTCCCCAAAAGTAGTAGGTGTTGCAGAACATGGCACAAGCCCAGTAGTGCTATGATACAAATAAGTGAAAGTCACAGAAATTATTGCATTTTGAAAAATAAAATGTCTATATACTTAAAATGCTTTAGTACAGCAGTTACAAATCAGAATTAATATAAAATAATGTTTTGATTTTTATGTGAGATTACCCAGGCAACAACAGTTTGAACAGTCTACTTTATCATTCAAGGAGTCACTCTCATCAATACAGCTGTTTCTGTCATTCTAGTGTTCATCTTTCTGCCAGGAAAAAAATGGGTAGCATCCACTGAAGGCCAAATGAATACTATCAACTGGCCAGCAGGGAGTGCTTATGTAAGAGATGCAGTAAGACTATATATCCTTTCACTCTAGGAAGACCAAATGTGTCATGTTTCCTGTGGGCCTGGTCTCTGGTGATGCGGAAAGCAGGAGTTCACAAGTCTCAACTGTAAAGGTAAAACATGTTGCTGCCTCATTGCCAAACAACAAAATAATCCATTATCTAAGTCCTTGATATATATTTTGTTAGCAAGAGGCTATTACTATTTTATAATGATAACAGAATAGTTTAACTTCAATATATATTACTGTATTTTAAAAGTTTGCATATTGATGGATTAATACCAACTTCACTATTTCAGGGGGGTGGGAGGGAGAAGTTGTGCCCTATCTACACACAGTTTTCTCACATATTTAAAAGATCAGACACAGTAATATAGGTTTCTGCCTGAGGTGTGTGGTTTTTTTTTTTTTTTTTTTCCCTTTCCTGAACTCCATTCCATCTGACTGGTCTAAACTCCAAGAGAAGGCTACCACAGTAATGTTGTCCAGCCATCAATTTTCTCTCACCTTACATCATGTAAAACACTTCATTTACAAGATATCTGACCTGCATAGTCCCTACTTAAGTTTGGATCACCTATTTAAAACATAGTTATCTGTACAAACTATTGCAGAACATGTAGAATTCAAATACACTGGAGATACCTAAACATTTTGTTTTAAAATACTTAATATTTTGCAGTAAATCTAGTCCTTTAGCTGATTTGCTCTTCAGGATTTCACTGGACAGAGTATTGCTGTAAACTGATGCAATATAGATTTATTTGTAACTAATTTATTTAACTAATTTTGTTTTTATTTCTTTTTTTCCCCAGTATGTACCAATAATTTGCATAAACTGATGAAGATTAAAGACTGATAAGAACAGGTTTATTTCTTTATTTGTTATTTCAATGTAAACAAAAGCTAATACAGAGCACTTTATTTCACAGAACACAGTTGTCTTTTAAGGACATTCAGCGAATGCAAATAACCCAATGGGGTTTTTTTTAATGGGTGCAAACAAACCCCAGGTTCATCAGACCTGTGAGTCTTTCCTTCTAACAACAAGGAGAACACACAGAAACATTGAGATGCAAGAATTAAATCATTGTACCTAAACAATATTAAATATAATATGATCAAATGACTCAAAAAGTCATTAGACTGTCCTATATTATTTATGAAAAGGGTTTTTTCCTGTATATAAACTCAACCTTCTGAATTCCAATCGAAAGAAGACTTAGAAAAGTCATGCTTTTAAGTTAATCCATAATACTTCTAAAATCAATGACTTTTCTATCTAATTCTATTCACCCCTGTGCAGAGGGCCAGCAAAAAGCCAATCCAACACTTCAGTTCCAAAATAAGCCTCTGTGAATTAAGCTTATGTGGAATTTAACTGGTGCATAGGTCTTGTACTGGTCCTGTGCACAGGAGCTGAATTCTACCCTTGGTGTGGGTGAACAAGCAAAGGCTATCTGTGTTTCTGAGAGACACTATTTTCACATCTTCTCAACTGTCATCAGTAGGACCAAATATGGTCAATTTCTCTAGAAGGTAAGTATCTACAGAGGCTAGCTTTTGAATGTTGGTGATAAAATGGGCTAGAAAATTAGAAACTTGTTCTAAACAACATGAAATATAAATGCTGTCTTTAGGCTAGAGGCATTAAAATACATATTTGAAGTAAATAAAATGTTTGGTGGCTGTTTATTTTAACGTAGGGGGTGTTATACCTTTATTTAAATGTCTTTCACTGCTACATTGGACTTTTTGGTCAAAACTGCAGTCATCCACAACAGAAATTAAAGGAAACTCTTTTTCGTTTGAAATCACATTAAACATGATCTTTATTCATACTTTATTCTTTTTGTGTTTAGAACTTTCTGAATGTTTGTTTTCATTCTATTAAAACATAGTAACATGTTCTAGGAAGCTGGACAAGTAACAATTCCTCTGAAAACAAGTACATATATTTTGACAAACAGTTTACTTTACTGAATTGTCCTTTTTTGTGGACACCAAGGACTGTGTTATATGAGGAACTGTGACAGAAAGAAGCAGGTTTTTGGCAGAATGAGTTCAGAAAACTGAGAACAATTGAAAATAATATACCAACTAGAGAGATCAGAATGGTTATATTTGCTCACTAACAAGAGAAGGTCTGTTGTTCTTTAATGTTGCCATTTACAAAACCAAAGACCAAACACAGAACATATTTTCCCACATTTTCTGAACTTTTCATTTGTGCAATAAGTCTCTTAAATGGAGAGACGTATAAAACGTAATTTACACTTTCAAGATACATCAACAGTGTTGTATTCAAGAACTGACTTCCTAAGCCAATTTTAACTGGAAAGTAGCAGGAAAAGTTTTACAATGATGCAAATTCCAAAATGATGGAATGCAGCAGGACATCAGAGAACAATTATATCTAGTTGTTATGGCAACTATTGAGCATACTGTAATGTATGCATATAGACCATTTGAGATCTTATCTTTAGCAAATAAAATATACTTGCTAATTCAGAAATTGCCCTATTCTACTTTCTTATTCATGTTGATTATTATCTTACTCTGCAAGGAGTCTCATTGAAATAAATGGAACTACTTGTGCACTAACATACTAATAAACATGAGTAAGGGAGAAGAATGGGGACTCAATAATACCATAATGTTAGGTAGCAAGTATTTTTTTGTAATTTGCTTAGGATCATATGTTCAGTTCTGCCTACATAAATTTCCACTCAACTATTTCAGTTGCCTTAGTAAATTGATACATTTGATCATATTTTGTAAAAGCCTTTCTTTTTAGAAGTTCTTACTATTAAGTCCCTTTTAAAACTGTATTGATTTCACACTTTATTTTGAGAAATGCTTCTGCCCTGTAGAAAGCTCTTCAGAGATGGGCAATATATTAGAAATTGAAAGCAAACCTCAAAAGAAGAAATACGACTTCGGCTACTCTATTAAAACTCAACTTCAGTTACCATAATTTTAACCAACTGAACTACATGCTAATAGTGATAATACCACCAGTTCTCTTCTATGGAGTTAACGTTTAAGATGAGCTATGATTCAGGTTGAGCAGCTGGAAAGACAGGATGTACACATAAGAATCATGACCAGGTCATCTGTTATTACATTTAATTACCTCGTGTATTCTGAGACTTTGCAGGGTTTCTTTCCCAGAGAGAAAGAACGGACCTCGGAGCCATGGTCCAACTTTCTCTTCATCTGCAAGGTGAGGAGGGGAAAAAAAACACCCCAAAGATTTAGTTGTATGACCAGCATAAATCATGTCTCTAATATCTAAAATGAACACATTTTTCCTTTTACTTTAATTCTCAATTTTCATAAGAAACCTCCATTAATAAAATAATTTAAAATAATGTTCTAGTTTACAACTAGAAGTAACAAATGTGAAATAGTGTTAATAAGTATCTATTTTATGACTAAAGATACTTAAAACTATCTTAGTTTTTATTTGGATATAACTATCTAAAGGTTTATTTAAAAAACTGATCTTTGTGAAATCTCTGGAAAGAATTCCACCCCTATTATTTCAGTTTCATAGCTATTATAACTGTAAAGTCTGAAAATGAGAAGTGGGTTACATTTTGGATTGTCTCTGTGTACTGTAGACCAAATGTATATTTTAGGCATTAAGACAAAAACATTTCAAATACTTAAAAATGACTCATCTTAACATTTTTAATTTAATATTTCAAACATTTATGAAATCACACTGACTTAAATGAAATGACTTAAAGAGGATATTGACATTTTCACAAAAGGGGTAGAATGAAAAAGAATAATCTCGTCTAGAATGTCACCCACAATTAGATATGATCAAAAAACAAATAATGATCAGGGCAGCTGTTAAAAGGAGAAGGAAATCTGCAAAAATTACCAAAGAGATGGAAACCAGTGAAAGGCATGTTCATCCAGCCAGACAAATAAGGATTACTTGCTGCATATGCTGGTAATCTTCAACCACACATTTTATGCCAAATAAAGTTTTGTTTTTATTGTAAGGAAAACATTTTAGCCATTAGTAGAGCAACAACAGCTATTGGCTGCAGAATGTATAAACTACCTGTGTATCAATTTGGACCTTAAATATTTTAAGGGTTTTTAGTTTCTCTAATTTAATCTGTTAAAATTAATGGTTTTAAGTTGATATCTTGGATGTGTAATGCTAAGTGGTTCTCTGTTTTTTAAAATGTTGCAGATATTATAAATTCATCTTTATGATTGGATTCAACCATTTATTGTACCAGTCTTCCTTCCTAAAATGAATTGGTTTCTCTACAGCTATAAAAAATGTTTGCATTAGAAACATTTTCATTTAAAATATTCAGACATTTACATGTCACTTAATAAACATTCAATAAAGCTTTTGTATTTTGTTCCATTAGTAATTAAGAGAAAGGACTACTCAGGTTATACATACTCATTAAAAAAGAAAAATAGCTTGCCTTATAGCTAAACCTTGTTTTCTTGCCCATGCCTCACATGGCACACAAATAACCATGTCACCATAAAAACGTTAAACAGAACAACAAACACAAAAACCCCACATAACAAATCCCAAATGCAAGAACCAACCCTACCCACTCACTCCCACTGCCCACCAAATTGTTCTAAGGAACACTGAGAATAATGGAGACCATCTTTTAGCATTGTACAGGAGCAAGACAGCAAAACCACTGAAGGCATAAATCTCATTTGTTTAGTATAACACCATACTAGAGGAATCTTATAGTAGGAATCTTAAGGAAGTATTTTAATGTTACAGGAAGTTTTTAATCTCAGTTAAAAATTAAACTGATTTTCCTGAGAGAATATCTTCACACCAATGCTTATATTTATCTTCTAGTTCCCTCTCTCAAAAGAAGAGATTTACCTTTTTCAAAAGCAAAAATTGTTACATATAAGAAATATAATGCCAGCAACAGTATAAGCAGATATATTCATTTATTCTTCGACAAGCGCATAGAAAATATTCAAATCAACATGCAGTCCTATATTTACCTAATAATGACATTTCCAATTTCCTGTTTTCTCAATTATTTTAAGAAACTTTTTCATCTGTTCTTATCAGCTTAGTGACATATATGCGCTTTCAGCACTTCACAGGGTGCCAACTAAATTCATTGACACAATTGCATTTACCATACTAAGATAAAACTTTGTTTCCAGAAGATTGCTCTAGTGATAAAATTTAGATTTCAAGATGATTTTTGTGGAACTGAAAACTTGTATCAGAAATACTCGAGAAAACATCCTCGTGAAATAATTCTCTGTGAATATACGTACTAGAGTCCTTAGTGTTGATTTACTGAAATAACTGATCTTGCAGTCAAAATATCAAACTGTATTCTGCATCATTACCAGAAATACAGAGTGGTATCAAAGTCTTCCATAGCACACTGCATTACATGTAAATATCCACATCATTACTTGCATCTTTTTCTACATTCACAGCAAAATTAAAATAAAATAAGCCTGAGAGACAGGTAAGGTACAGAAAGAAGATTTACTAAAGAACAGTTATGCATAAAGTGCTTTCAGGTTAATGTATAGATGAGCTGCATTTTGAAAGTCAAGCAGTTTATTTGAAGGTAAATTCTCAGATCAACATATCACTTCTTACTCAGATTCCTAAAATAAAAGCTTTTCGCATCTCATTTAGCCATTTCATTATTTGCCTTCATTCATCGTGTAGAATAGAATGCCAGGCATCCAGCCACCCACCAAAAAGAGAAGATACTGCAGCCATCTCTGATGATACGGATTTTTTTCTTCCTTAACACAGACACATACACACACACACTCTCTCTCAAACAAGAAACAACAGATACTTACTTTGTAAAAAATCATTTTTAAAGTGCCGTAGAAACCCATGTTTTCTGTATTTTTTCCCTTCAGTGATTCTGTGCCCCCGAGCGTCCGACTGCTTGGTAGTCTCTGACAATATAAACCTTTTTCAGGTAGGTATGTCACAGACTCTAATGTGGACATGCTCGGGCACGTCAGAAAAGGAAGATTAGGCAGCAGAACCAGCAACAAAACTCCACTGTAAAGGCAAATGAAGCTCAGTATCAAACTGCTTCTCGGGGCACATACATACATGCAGCTTGCTGGAGTAGAACTTGAGGGAATAATGGGAGAGAGGGGGAAGATTATTGGAGGAGACTGTGCCCTGTCAAAGCCTTGATTTAACAGATTCCTCCCTTAGCAGCAGAGGATCAGATTACATCTTCCCTCGTTTACGGAATGGTGCAGTCCAACCTTCAGCAATGCAGGCTGCACATCAATTATATGGTGCTCAGCTCCGGGGAGCCTGTAAGCACAGAGTACAGGAAGGGCTTGAACAGGAAATTAAATAGCCCCCACACCAACATTCCCCTCCTTAAACTTATCTTCATCTTTTCTTTGAAAAATAAAACTGATTTTTTAAAGTAGCCTTGGAGGCTGGTAGAATATTATCAAACCATTTTTTTATATTTGAAAGTGCAGCATGCTTCAGATTTTTCCAGTTGAAGCAAGCAAGCTCATTGCCACTTATTGCAATTATAGTGTAGCCCTCAGCCAGTTAACTGGACTTTTACATTAGTGCTTTCAGTGGACACAAATTAGTACTTCAAAAGTGCAGTTAATTTTAAAATAGTTTGAAATATATTATTTGCCAAAAAGATGTTTGAAATATTCTGTTGGCGACACAATATGGTTTGGCAAATTTAACACTTCCAACTTTTAAAATAGAAAATTATGTAATACAGATTAAAATATTTATTACTATAGTGACTAATCTGTAAAATTCAAGAGTATGTTCAAGTTTTCCTTGGAAGGCAGTCCTCCCAATGCACCTTTAATATTCTGTGCATCCTCTTCCCAGAAAATCTCCCTATTTTTAAAATTAGTTGAGGGTTATACAAAACCCCCCAAACATTAAAAAGCTTCTAATGTCTGCTTCTGGTGTCCACACACAAATCGTCTGATGGTTTCTCTCTCACACTTAGAAAAATCTTAAGGAAAGCTTTGAATATTTCACACACAATTTTCCAAACAACATTTTTTGTTTTACAATTACTTGATACAACTATCCTACCAAAATTGATACAGCTGTTCAATAAAGTTTGGGAAGAAGAGACCCCACCTGAACAGTGGAAACATGGAATAATTATCAGATAAAGGGTGATCTTACTGAATAACAACTGGAGAGGAGTTATACTACACTCTGTTGTAGGGAAAGCCTTCTGTACTATGACACTGCACAGGATGAAAGAGGCAGAGGATGCAAACCTTTGAGAAGAACAGGGTGGACTCAGGCCCAAGACATCCCATGTAGATTAGATATTTACACTAAAGGTCCATCATAGAAAAATGTATAGAATGGCAAGCTCCACTCTTCATCAATTATTTTTATTTTCAAATGGCATTTGACAGCTTGCACTGACATATATTATGGAATATTTTAAAATCCTATGGAATCCCAGTTAAAACTGTCAATATTAACAAGGCCATGTACAGAGATGCCAATTGTTCTGTGAGGGTGAACAACCGGACAACAGAGTGGTTCAGTGTGGAAGCTGGCATGGAACAGGGCTGCATTTTATCTCCATTGTTGTTTGGCATTGCTGTAGATAATGAAGAAGTGTATTAGCAACACAAACACTGGTATAGCAACTTTGCTGATGATATTGTGCTACCCGGAGATACCCCTGAAAAGATAGAGACAGACAGACAACTTGGCAAAAATAGCAAGCCAAATGAGGCTGAAAATTAATTATGCTAGAACAAACATTACTGAAACCCAGACATCAAGCAGTAACAGCACATTAGAAGGCAAAAATATCAAGGAAGTTGAACAGTTCATCTACCTGGGCAGCACCATTTTAACCAAAGGAGACCTCAAGAGGAAGTGAGACATTAACGATAGGACAGGCAACTCAACAAAGTATTGCAATCAAAGATATACAGCACTAGAACAAAACTGAGAATTTTCAGTTTAAACAATCTCAGGGCTAATATATGGCTGCAAGAGTTGGAGATCTACTAAAACAGACATAAAACTAGACACCTTCCAAAATAAGTGCCTACGAAAGATTCTGAACATTGACTGCAAAGACTTCAGCACCAACGAAGAGATCTGAAATACCACCAACCAGCTCTTTCCACCAGAATCAGAAGGAAGCTCTAAATGTATCTGGGGCATGTACTCTGAATGC